CCCCCGGGCAATCAACAGCTCCATCCCTGCCGCCTTCCTGCTTCCATTGACTTCCCTGCCGGAACAGGTCAAGCGGCAGCTCACCAGCCACAGTTGGGGAGCTGCTTATCAAAGCACGTGGTGCCATCTCGTTGCGTCCAATCAGATCCGCCCGAGGCGGCAGCTCCCCGCTCCTTTCAAGCCACAGCAGCCGAAGGAAGCAGCGCGGGGTCAACTCTGTCCTCTTGCAGCAGCAGCACCTCGCTTTCAGTTTCAGGGGTCCATCGAATCTCGGTGCATCAGCGTCCTCCTTCCCTCCAGAACCTCCATCGGCTCTGCTCCGACTCGGGACAGAACCCCACTATTATTTCCTTCGCGCTGCTCTCCCATTTGCTTCCATCCACTTTGTTTCGCAGCTGTCTTCTCGATTCCCGTTTTTTTGCTTCTGCTTCTTCCTCCCCTGCGCTGCCCGAGGCGTTCTCTCACGACCCCATTGCATCCTCCACGAACATTTACGACGTTACGGCTGTATTGACTGACTCTCCTTTTTTCTTTCCTCGCGGACATTGGCTCTCTACACATCGTACACCTCGGCATTTGTCCCGCGTCAACGACTTCCGTTTGATACCCCCCCTCTCCTCCCCCGACGCACACGTTGCGACAGCGAACACCTTCGAAATCCCTTCCAGCTACCAACCACTAGCACCATGGCGATCACACCTTCTGCTGCGGCCGAGACCTCGCGTCAATACGTCCCCCTCACCTGCCACGGCCACTCGCGACCTGTTCCCCACGTCTGCTTCTCTTCTCTGGAAAAGGAAGAGCAGTACTACATGATCTCCGCCTGCAAGGGTAAGCTTGCGACACGCGACCCGGCTTTGCGATCGGCGCAATGCTAACCTTGTCGCAGACGGAAACCCTATGCTGCGCGATGGCCTCACTGGCGATTGGTAAGGCGAAGCACATTGACAGCGCAGTGGCACTGCTAACTGACTGATAGGATCGGAACCTTCATCGGTCACAAGGGTGCCGTCTGGCAGGCCAGACTTAGTCCTGATGCCTCCAATGCTGCCACCGCCTCTGCCGACTTCACTGCGTAAGCTCTTTGCGACTTTCTGATTGCGAGTGATGGCTAACAATTTGTAGCAAGGTCTGGGACACCCACAGCGGTGAGGTCCTCTACACCCTCCAGCACAACCACATCGTCCGCGCCGTTGCCTACCCCCCCGACAACTCTGACCTGATCGCGACCGGAGGTATGGAGAAGAAGCTGCGCGTCTTTGACCTGAGCGACTTTGCTCCCAACCCGAACGACGCCGCCGGTCCTGTAACCGTCCAGGCCTCGGCCGGTTTCGAGATTGGCGAGGGCACCCACACCGGCTCAATCAAGTTCATCGCCTGGACTAAGGACCCTAACACGATCGTCACCGCTTCCGATAACACCCTCCGCTGGTTCGACCTTCCCACGCGCCAAGTCATTCGTCAGGAGGTTCTCGACGGCGAGATCAAGTCTTGCGAGCTGGTTTCTCTTGCTCCCGAAATCACCTCCCCCGGCGATATTGGCGGCGGTCTCCCAGTCCTGGCGGTTGCCGCCGGCAAGTCCGTCTACTTCTGGGGCGGCATCCAGGCCATGGATGAGCTCAAGCGCATGGAGCTGAAGCACGGCGTTGCTAGTGTTGGCCTGGACATCAAGGGACGCAAGTTTGTTGTTGGAGAGGAGCCTGGCACCTGGGCGCGTGTCTGCCGCTGGGACGATGGCACCGAGATTGGTGAGTCTTGCCGAGAAAGCACGATGTACTCGTTACTAAGAAGCCGCAGAAACCCTGAAGGGCCACCACGGTCCCATCTGGTCTATCGCCTTTGCCCCTGACAACAAGCTATACGCGACCAGCTCCGAGGACGGCACGATCAAGCTGTGGAAGAACTGCGACGGCTTCTACGGCCTTTGGCGTGGCGGTGCCACCAACGCGGAGCGCACCGTGGACTAGAAGAGCACGGCCTCCAGCGTGGTGTCACGCAGCGATGCCAGTGATATCTATTCTCTCCCAAGCAGCCGAGTCTCGTCGGGCTCGCAATTCGACGGCTGCTCGCATTTGAGCAACAACTCCATTTCAGAGACTCCGGCGGCGGCCCACCAGCAGATGGGAAAGTTCCTAGCCTCCGTCACTGATGGTACCGGACAGGAGACTCAGTCGTATGCCCAGATCACCCGTCGCCGTTTGGCTCAGACCAACTAAGCAGATGTCGGGGTTACGCGCAGGAGGGACTGAGATGTTCCACTTGCCGCAAGATCTCTCGTCGAGCTACAGTGTGCATGGATAGAATACATAAAACGTTTGAGTTATTAGAGCGAGCCATTGAGGATGACGGCTAGGGTAGATGGTTGCCACCAATGGCGATTGATACCAGAATACACATTACTAGACCCGAGAAAGCATCTGAGTCCAAGTGCTCAACAAAATTCCTTTATCGCATCTACGCAAGTGTGAGGCTGCCTCGTGCGGAGTCTGTGCCTGAAGTGAACATTCACCTGTGCGACTCTGTTCGTCCTTTCAAATGGAGGCCTTCTCAATTGCCCAACAAAGAGGGGGAGTAAATCCCCCGACCCTCCAATACAGCTGATGAGATGAAGCCCTCTCAGACAAGGGCTCAGTGTGCTTATTGCTTCTGCTAGCCATGACCCTGCCACCTTCATCCTTTCCATCGTTGCCTCAACCTCTTATCACTCCTGCTGCTGTCATGTCTAATGTCTCCAGATTTATTGCCTTCATTCCTGGTGTCAAATCCGGGGTTAAACATCTCAAACATCGCTTCTCGCCGCGGAAGCACCGTCAAATGTAGCAACCTGATCACTTGCTTGCTTGTACAGTAGGCACCCCACCGGGCCAGGCCCGGAGACTTACGTTGTAAGCGCGTTAGTAACCCAGCTCCTTAATCTTTGCATTGAGCGCAGCCGCCCTGTAGGACAGCTCTGATGATCCGCGGGCACTGTGAAGCGCCAAAGGGGCCGAAAGATCTAGCGAGGAAAACAGGTAAGCTTCAAGTCCGTTTTGGCAGGTTACAGAATCTTGGAAGTGGTCTTTGGAGGGTGGAGATGGACGATTATCTTGCGGAAATCGATCGGTATAGTTATGGTCGAGCAATTGGAGTCCCATATGAGGGCACTTGTGTCGATTTAAGCCGCCAGCCTCGGCTCGAAGGGCTGAACACACTTGACAGACTACTCAAACACGCTCCGACACTCTGTCGGAGCGCAGAGTGTATTCAATTTGCTCGAGCTGTGCCGCTGCGAAGAGTGATGAGATTGTTGCCATCGAACATCGAAATGAAGGTGATATCCTAGGTATCGACGTCTTCGAGGTTCTCTCGAGAAGTATTCAGTCCTCGGAATGGTCTCTGGGCGCAGCAGGTTGGACATGGAGCTGTAGCAGAACCGCATCGAGTTACAAATCTCTCCGTGAAGGTTACGCAATACCAGATCAACTTCCAAGCCCGCTCTGAACTGGCGTTTCTTCTCGTCAATGGGCGGATCTTTCAACTTTCGGATAGGCTCCGGACACTTTTACGCGAGCGTGGAAGAGAATGGCCGCTCGATGGGATCAGGGCACTGTCAGAGGCGGAGGCATCTTAACAGGCTGTCGCTATCCCTGTGGGACTATTCTTTAGGAGTGGTCTTTGACGTGTTGAAAATAGCAATCCTGATATTCCCGTCCCTTTTGCTTCTTTGAGCTGTTGATCTCCATTTTCCCCAGAAGATATTTATCCTATCTGCTAAAACCTTCTGCACATTACGATTAGACGTTGGCGTATCAATTTGCCCCTTTTGAACCAAGATTGAAGCGACATTCATCTGAACCGAACGATGACCTGGAGGCCTATTGCAAGATGAATGAAAAGGCATGGAATATTGTGTACATACCACCGCGGCCTACCAGGGAGACTGTTAAATCGTCAGAGGGCCTGCCAATGCCTTAGATGCCTCGGTGGTCCACCGATACTCCAAGTTTGAGAGTTCAGAGTTATCAAGGAATATCTGGGAAGTCATACGCTGTCCCTGGTGCAAAGCTCATGACGGCTGGGCTTGTTTGCTACTGGCCCCGCGATGTCCGGTGATTACTGGTGCCATGTATTTCCAAGGGTCTGGGCCCGGTCGAAAAGGGGCGAGCTTGGTTTCTTTGCGGGATGCTCTGCCCAAGCCCGTGGACACGTGTGATTCCGAGACGGGTACCTTTGGCGGTGAGTCGAGGGAACGCTGGAAAGAAAGGCACGCGAAGAGAAGCGCCGGCGAGGGCTACGGGTCGTAAGTTATTAGCCGGCGAGGCAAGCGGTGGCAGCAGGTGTGGCGGGCACTTCTCCGGTAGTTCTGCTGAAGATACTGGTTTCAGCGTCCCGCCGCAGTGGCTTTAGCTTGCTGGCACTGTTGCAGGTGTTACACACGCTGGGCTGTTAGGCCTTATGCTGAGGTAAACTCGACGAGGGAGGTAGGAAGCAGGTAGGGGGCAGGTGCGACTCGGGGATCACGCGAACCACTTCGACGGCGGGAGGATGCCCAGGCGGCCCTCAACAAAAACAAGTGAATGCAAAGCTCAGCATACCCGAGAAAGAGGGATTCGGCATCCGAAATCCGGGTCCAAAAACACTCCCGTCTGACCGAGAGCGCGCGCTGGCAGGAGGGCAGGTGGGTGGGCAGTTGCGCGACTGTAAGGCGACTGCCTCGTCGCGCGCAAGCACTCGTTGCCGATGCTCAGCTGGCTCCAATCAGACTGGGCAGGAGACAGCCCAGAGCATACATTGCCCCCCACTGAATAAGGTAAGGTAGGTACTGCGGTGTGAAGTCCTGGGCCACTTTGGCAGTGGAACAAAGCCCTTCCACGGCCCTCGACCCTGGCCCGCAAACTCGATGCGACTTGAGGATAGCGCACGCCTCAAACGCGACAAGGGCATTTCCAACAAGCTGAAACTTGTGCCTCTCTACAAGGTCGCAGATCAAGCCTGATGAGATCGCTTGCATTGTCCAGAACATGCCTGCGCGCAAGGCGGAAGGGAAGGACGGAGTTTCCATCGATGTTCTCAAGATGCTTTTGCCGCTCGGGAAGAATCCTGAGCGAGTGTTTGCTGGCGATGCCGAAGATAATTCCGAAGACATCCTCACTAGCGTCCTTCAGCGGCCCATGCAAGCTTGCCTCAACCTTTCCTACCACCCAGAAGCATTCAAGGAGGCGGTGACGGTGATGATCCGCAAGAAATCGAAACTGTCATCTTCTGCCGAAGGATACCGTCCCATAGCTTTACTTTCTGCTATCGCCAGAGAGGCTATTTGCTGACAGACTGACCGACTTTCTGATCGAGTCCAATAGGCTTCTTCTTGAGCAGTTTGGTGGCCGAGGGAAGAGCGCCACCCAGGCGCTCGAGTTTCTTGTCGAAGCCGTGTATAGGAACTGGTTCGCCAAAAAAGAAAACATCTTCGTCACCATCTGCGCCCTCGACATCACGGGAGCCTATGACCGCGCCCGGCGACAACACTTGCTGAATATCCTGGTTAGATACGGAGTTCCCGGCGACAACACTTGCTGAATATCCTGGTTAGATACGGAGTTCCCGGCTGGATGGTCAAGTTTGTGGCATCCTTTCTTTCCAGTCGCAGCACCACGGTCAGGGTCCAGGGGCGCCATTCCAAGAAATTCTCGATCAACATTGGGATTCCTCGAGGGAGCCCGCTGTCGCCAATTCTGTTCATTTTCTTCACTCTGCCGCTCCTCGAGAAGCTCAAGGCAATGCCCAGCATGGAAACTAACAGGAACGCGAGGCTCCTCCGGTTAAAGGAACTTCTCGTTACAACATTCGTGGACGACATCACTCTGTTGGTTGCATCTCCCTCGATCAAGCAGAACAACGAGGCTCTGGCAATATTGTACGAGCTCCTGACCGAATTTGCGGCTCTGAATGGCACCGAGTTCGGCCCCCACAAGACTAAAGTCATGCATATGCTGCAGAGGGGCCCCGCGGTCACAGACATGCCCAATGTTGACGGGTTCCCACCCAAGGCAGTAGAAAGTATGGAAATTCTTGGGGTCATACTGGACTATCATCTCAATTGGGTGGAACATGTCAACAATGTAAGTCACTCTTTCACTACACGATTGTGTTCAGCCGCTGACGTTTACACAGGTTTTGTCCAAGGTCCGGAGGAAGATGTTTCTTCTCCGCCGAATCAGCGCAACTACTTGGGGCGCATCAATCTCGGAACTACGCACGAGGTACATCACCGCTGTTCGTCCCATCGTTGCTTACGCGTGTGCCGTTTGGTTTGTGTTGAAGACCCCGGGTGGGCCTCCCTGCAACTGGACTCTGGCCAAGTCTGTCGTCGACCTTTTGGAAACACAGCAGAACAATTGCTTGAGACAGATTTCTGGCGCTTTCCCTCGCACCTCTGGTCACGCTCTATGCAAGGAATTGTACATTGAGCGGATGTCGGTGTTCCTCCACAGGTGCGCCCGCGCGTACCGAGCCTCGAACAAGGGCACTCCGGAAGGCATGGCGCTCTGCAATCTCTGGGAGCGAAATCACAAGCGCATTTGTGTCACCAGCGAGGTTCTGCAAATACACCCGTACTGCGTCGCCTACCACGAAGCTAACACGCTTCTCAGGGTGAACGCACAGATACAGCTCGCCGTCGAGATACAGACTTGGACCGAGCCGCCGGATTCCGTCAGAGGCACGGCCAAGCGGGCCGCGAGGTTGAAGCAAATCGTCAAGTCTTTGGCCAAGGACCTGGCAGAACAGAGAATGAAGGAGTCGTGGATCGAGGAATCCAACAAACGTCGCTGCTTACTCGGCAAGCTTGCCTACGACGCTCCAACCTGGAAAGGCACGTATGGGAAACACAACCTCGAGGCCTACAAACCTCTTCGCAAGGCACAGGGTACCATTTTACTGGGCATCAAAACCGGCATCAACGGCCTGAACAAACCACTGTTCGACATGCACGTAAGTCTTTCTGCGTTCCTTTGTCTGCCACTCTTTCACCCAACTCTCTGGAATCCAAACGTCGTCGTTTTTGTCTTCTTTCCATCTCTGGGGTGCCTGAATTCCCATGCCTGTTGTGTGAAGACACCTAGCAGGTCAGCATTATCTCCAATGCCCACTTGCTTGTGACGGACTCGACTGTCCAAGTTGGCTCAGCTGCCCGTCCTTGTCACGCAATGGCTTCATCGGACGGTCGAATGATCTCTCTACCTGCCCCATCCCCTCCCGCTCTTTCCAGGGGTCATCTTCACTCGCCAAATCCTACCTTCCCTTGGGAGTCTCTCCGTTGTGCCCCGCACCCGACCCCCAACCCTCTAGGGGGAGGACCTTTTCCACCTGTCTTCTTTTTCATCTCCGACCTGTCCCATTGCACACACTCAGTCACCACGTATCATGTTCGATGCTGACTGCTGCCACCACTTAGCGGAAAGAAACTTTCGTGTGTCCTTGTGGGGAGCACGCCCACACTGCAGAGCACCTCTTCATCCACTGCAAACTATTGGACAGACCCCGCGAACATCTTCGCAGGGCCGTGGGTGGCCGTCTGCACTTTCAAGCGCTGGTCGAATGTTACCCGGAACTCGCTGCCAACTTTGCCATCCGTTACTTTGGTCTGGAACAATTCAGATGGACTGCGAAGCACATGCCCAACCCACAATTCCCCGGCCTGCGTGCAGACACCCGCCTGGCCTTGAGGGACGGCCGCAGACCACCGCCCGGGGCTACTACGTAACTGGACCTCGCGGGTACATCTAGATTAGCTTCAATACAAACTCTGTTTAGCTGTAGGGCCGCTGGCCTTGTATTGTGAAATTTGACTGGTATTGACTGCGAAAGCTAGACTGGTCCCCTCGCCCTCTGCTAACGACCTTGGGGTCACGTGACTGTAGGTACTCTTCCCCTTTCTTTTCTTCGACCTTGTCCTCGTCACATTGCTTTGCTAACTGTGCCATGCGAATGGAAAGGTAGTTCAGACTTAGACATCATGTGAGTTCATGTCCCATTCTCCGGAGAACGCAGGGTCCGATTGCCCGGGCATCTAACCACCAGATCTTCCTGAAGCTTCGCCTCCACGCTCCTCCGTCAGTCAGCTCGTTTGCCCATCCCCCTCGTCAACAAGCCCCGCTGGCTTTCGTTCATGTCCTTCAGGACTTCGACCATTACAACGAGCCGTAGTGCTACCCTCTGGCTGCGTACCTTTGCATCTCCACTGACCAACTCAGAAGTCAACCGTCTTCCTCCAGCCGCCTCCATCTCCGTCAGTCTCCTTCATCTCCCGTCAGTCTCCTCCATCTCTCGTCGATCAACAACCATCTTCCCCCGTCATCCTCGCAACGCGGGCTCCATTTCCTTTTGTTGCCCTCTGCTTTCGGGACTGACTGGTGTTTCCACCAGAAGGCTCCTCTGAGCCGCACCCACCCTTCGTCGGTCAGCCCAACCCAGCCCGGAAATTCCCCCGATCCATCATCTGCGCTTTCCATCCCTCATTTGTTCCGTTGTTCTCTTTTGCAGTCGCTGACTGGATTTTCAAACAGACGCCATATTCGATCCGCGCCCGTCTTCCATCAGTCAGTCCTTCCTCCGGTCTCATCCTCCCCGCCTGTGGTACCACATCTATGCATCATCGCTTCCATGCATCATCGCTTCCGTTCTTCGTCTTTCCTTTTGTCATCTCTTGCCAAGGCTGACTGGCTTCCGCCCAGAAGTCTCCTCCGCCGTTCGGACGTCTGCGCCGTGAGTAAGGACCCCCATCTTTTCAACACGTCCATCTGTTCTGACTGGCCGACAGGCTCCGCCAGGCGCGGGGGCCCCGAGGCCTCCGTGCCGTCGCGCCGTTGTCAGTGAAGATGGTTCTCGTGTTGGCACGATGGCTTTGGACTAACTCGTCCAAGCAGACAACGTCTTCCGCCCTGCCGCGCAGTCTCGACGTGGGTCAGCCTCCCTCTTCGACTCGTCGATGGGGTTTTGTATGTTGACTGACTCGCCCAGGAAGAGCCCTGCTGCCGTCAGCCATACTCTCGACATGTATGTGAGCAACACCCCAAGACGAGACCGTTGCGCTCAGCTAACTGGTGCTGGAGCAGATTCGCCCTTCCCGACTTACCGACGTTCGTAAGCTGATGTCGCCTTGGAGCTGGGACACTTCAGCTAATGCTCTCAGAAGCCCTCAGGGCGCCTTAGCCATCTTGAGGAAGTCCGTGAGGTATTCACAGGCATCAGGATCGTTATCGGTAGCCTCGACCATCCCCACATCGACCTCGAGGCTGTGTAACTTCAATATCTCGCACTTGTCGGCCGTCTCGAGCAGGTACTTCCGGGTGAATTCGAGCGGAGGTGATTCATATTAGTCCCTCTTTTATATACTATATACTGAAGCTTTACTTTAGTCTTCTTGTCGGTGTAGAGAAGGTCGCCGTACTCGGAGCCCTTGATTTCGTTCGCTTTGGTCTCGCGGATCAAGTCGTCCAGGGCGGCCTTGCTCAGCCTGCGCGCAGGCATGATGAGGGGGAAAGACATCGTGTAGGTAAGTTTTCAATCCCACTTGTCTGGTATTTTACTGACCTGTCTGTCCCTAGGGTCGTCGCGCGTATAGGAGGATGTGAGGAACAGGCTCGAGGCCTCGTTCGAAGCAGGTAGCCCTCTGGTCCCCACTCCGTTTATTCCTGTCTAATCAGGTTTTGCAGCGGTCGAGTTCTTATGCCATGGCCACGAGAACCCTTTTGGCCACGGTAGGTGCGCTACTCACTCCCATGAGTTTGAGTTCCTAGAATCAGGCTGACTCGCAACATTAGCGAAGAGTCACACCGTTGCGTTTGCGCCCTCGAGTGTAGGTTCAAGCCATCGCCAGGCTCCAGCCGGTATGTCAATCCTCATCTCATTCGCATCCCCCTGCGCCCCATTTGTTTCACTTGTCGATTTCCTGGTCCTGACTTGGCAAGAGAGTGCTGTCAGCGTTCCGGTACGTCTCTGTCTGCTTTTCTTCCTCTGTTCCTTTGCTCTTTCGCATTCTTTCCATTCCCCAGTCTTCGTGAGTACGTACAACTTCCCCCTGCTTATCTGAATTTTTCCTCTGCGCATCAGCCTTTCCCCCTTATTTCGTTTGCTTGCGTGACTAATATATTCAGACGACAGCGTCGCGAACGACGCTCTCGCCAGTACGTTTTGCCGCTCCGCCGCCTGCCCGCCTGCCCTCTTCTGTACAGTAGGCCGATCTCCAACCCCCTCTAAACCATTCTAACGATAACGTCGCAGGCCGGGTACAATTTAAGCCGAGCGTCAACGACCAGTTATACCGAGATTTGTTTGTTTGCTGTATCGAGATCGGGCACAGGTCAAAGTGCTGCTATTGGGTTTCAGTACTGTGAAAAAAAGTATAGAGTGAACTGCGATACCTACTTATACGGGTTGACCAGACTGCCAACATAAAAATGGGGTTTTTGGCCCCCCAAAACTTTGTTCGTCTCTCCTCGGTGATGTACATTGTGTAAATTCTGACCAAACTTCTTCTGGGGGTATCGTCATCCACCTTGCAAGCCCCAAAGATGAGTCAGACGCGCCGCCCCGGCATTATTTAAAACATAACCTGCCACCCCTGTCTTCAATTCCTTTTCGTCCTTCGTCAATGCTCGACCTTTCCTAGGTCAATAGTGCAACCCTGAATTGCACAGGCAGTGACATCTTCCCGACTATCCATCACTTCAAATCAACGTCATGCCCCATTTCTTCGACCTGCCCCGCGAGGTGCGGGATCTGATCTACGGCCAATACGTCATTTCCGACGGCGGTTATGTATTGGATTTCGAAAGTAATACCTTCAGGTGTGCCAACGGCGACACCATCGACCTTGCCCTCATGCTCACCTGCAAAGCTGTGGCAAACGAACTGAGAACCGTGCCGTTCTCTACAAATACTCTCAACTTCTCCACGATATGCTCAGAGGAGCACCGCATCACCGCAGGCCGTTTCGATGATCTGGTCGCGCAAATACATGACCAGCTTGGAGAGAAGTTCTTCAGTATTTATCCCGACAATCTCAGCGTCCCGGACGATGTTTGGAGGGAGCTGGTGCAAGACCATCCAAAGTTTGCACCATATATCGAAAGGATAAAAGGCAGGACAACCTTATGGGTCCCAAATGATGAGGGCAAGCTGAGGCTACTAGACGCCTACCGAAATGTCAGTCTGCTGGCTCCTGTGGAGAAACACCGTCTACTTCCCGCCAATTCTCTCGTGCCGCACTGTGTACCATTGTGGCACACAAAGACCGGTTCAGCCGCGAGCAATTCGAGGATTTTCAGACCGGAATGTTCGTCGTAGGAGAGAATGTCAAAAAGTATGGTGGACCGCCCCCAGTAAATCTTGAAGCCCTTGTCGAAGTGAACCCCGATCCCTGGGAAGTTCCGACTTCAAAAAGAGTTGAAGAAATGGCAGGTCGCATCAAAAATGATGACCGAGAATTGAAAAGGAAACGGCTGAGGGACTTGGATCAAGTTCTATTTGGTCCGCGTATGCTCGATACGAGCCTGATCAAGTATCACTATTCAGCTGCAGCTGCAGCCATACGATTCTTCAGGTCTGTATCAAAGGATACCCGGCTCGGGATCAGAAATGTTCTCCTCAAGGAAGAACGTTTAGCAGTCGCGTTTCCTGAATGCCATGGCCTTGGACTCGTTCCATTTTGCCTGGAGAACCCGCAGCTTCGTGTGGAGCGACGCGTCAACATGTGGAGAGCTGTCTTTCCAACTACACTTATGGATCTACATGAAAGACGCTTATTGTACAAGCCCACAGACAGAACATTCCTTCAACCGATGGACGTTTCCTCCCAAGTAGCGATTTGGGTCCAGGAAGCCTTGGAACTTGAACATGCTGGAATGCCACAAGGTTCATTCACTCTTGTCTTCGATGGTGACTCGTCGTGTTCGGAGATCTTCAAACACATAGTTCAGCGAGACGCGGCCTGGCAGCAAGCAATCGACGTATGCTTGGACCGAAGCATTCTTCCGCCGCTGCGCTGGGACGTAAGGCGAAGAGACGCAAGGCATGAGAAACGTGGCAGGCGGGAGGATCGGACCGAAGTTTTCAGAGAATCAGACAATGCCTGGTACGTGCGCGAGGGGTTTCCAAAAGCGATAAACGATATCGTAGCTGGGAAGTCCATCGTCAAGTGCAACTTCTGGGTGGGTGATGTATGGGATGCCGAACGACTGGCAGAGGAGAACAAGGAGTGGAGCATGCAGCAATGGAAAATGGCTTGGTATAGTCACCTCACAACGAGACACTTCAAGCATGATCCGCCCTCTCCTGGGTGGGTACAGCTGCTGTGCGATGATACGTTTGAGACGGGGTTGCCTAGTACAGAATGAGGGCAGATAGGATTCTGGTGCTGTAAACGCTGAGTTGACAGCAAGCACGAAGTCAAGAGGAAAATACAGCTGGTTATGTAGATGTGGAAATGATTGACTTTATGATCCATGTGTGCGCTTTCTACGTTCGGAGCATGAGGGTGAAGATTGGGGTAACCTGGTCTATTTCAGCTCTTTGTGTTTGGTGCGCAATTGAGGAAGACCGTTTTCCTACGTACAACAACGCTTAAGGATACTTGTACTTCTTCTTGAAAATATTCAACCATAGTAGAGCAAGCATTGGCATTTGATGCAAGTGTACTTCCCCAGGAATGCTGACTATAGTCTTTTTGAGAACACTATTTATTCCATCTATATTCTTGTATTGCTGCAACGTCAGGCCCAGACGTTTGATTTGCAGATGTAGGAAGACCAGAATGCAGTTTCTTAGAGCGATATCATGTCAGACGGCTGTCGAGAGAACATTGACAACTTCCTACAGTGGTTTTAATGTACCTAGAGCGGTCCGGCTATCAATACCATCCAATTCTCGTCGCCCCGACGCCGATTTCTTATGGAATTCCTTAACACCAAGATTTCATAGCAGACTGTCCTTCTGCAACCGTTTGGTCCTCTATATCAACATAACTGGAGGCATCTTATTCAGTTGGAGTCTTTCCCCCAAGTTATTAATGCTCCAGGCCGAAGTTTGCTAGCCTGTATTGCCTGAAAGCTAAGAGTGACACCAGGTAGCCGATATGGAACAGATTGTTTCCAGAAGATAACAAAATAGCCAATTTATGAGCGAAAGTCACGATTGACTCTCAATTTCAATGTTCGATTCCAAAACGAAGAGGATGACAGCCCTAGTGTGCCGTTTGAGAACATCTCCTGTGGACGGTAATAAAGATACCACATGAAATTAAGAATGGCCGGAGAACTACTTTCTCTTAGGGTCCAGGCTTCATGGGCATGTTTTGGAACTCCTCTCTGCGCATCCTGTTATCTTGGGTTGATGACGGCTGTACCACTGGCGGTAAACATGATTATAGGCAAATTCCGTCGAGCACATCTCAAAACGTCCCTGGGAGGGTCACTCGCGATGAGACTGATAATACAGCGGGCTTTGGAGAGCACAGGAATAACTAGCGCAACGTGTCTTCTGGCAAGATGATGCCTTATTTATTGCAAATGCTGGTGTACCTGACGCAAGAATCCTGGGTAGGTAGATGTGGTATGGAAAAGGTAGAGCGAGTGAACTGGACCTGTGGTCTCAATACGACCAATCTTACACGGAAAAAGGCACGATGCAAAATATTAGGCTCCCTACGGTGGTGGCAGCAGCATAGCGTCGTCAGATACATATGACATACTCAAAAGTCTGTGCTTGCCCTCCTTCAGGTCAACTTCATTAGGCTTTGTTTGGCCAACATCACAGAATTCTTATTTGAAGCCACGGACGGATTTATACATTTCCAGATGTGCCTATAATATACAAAGAAGTTTACACAATGTTGCATCGGCCGATGCCCAACTTAACAGTTGGTCTGGATGCCATGGGCGTACATGGCGAAGGAGTCAGCGTTGTTCAGAGCCTGCGAGGTGCTGAGGCCGTCAACGCATCCCTCATAGCCGTAGCACACGTCGTCGGTGCCGGCGACCTCGGACAAGTGGGTAGACTCGTGGACCAGGACGTAGGGCTGGTCGGCTCCGTGGCAGGTGCTGGTAGAGGCAGGGAACTGGAACCAGTAGTCGCAGACGACGATGTATCCGTCGGTGCCGGGCTGGGCGTAGGCAACGACGCCGTCGCTGCAGAAGTTGCCGACGTCAGTGCAGTGCAGACCGGCTCCGCTCGACGTGCTGCCGAGGAGGGTGGCGGCCTTGCCGAAGACGCTGGCGACGGTGCTCTTGGTGCTCGAGGAAGAGGAGCCGAAGTACTGCTCGACGCGGGTGCCGGCAGTCGCGGCGGTCTGCGCCGCGGTGGCGTAGCTCTTGGCCTTGGAGAGGGCGGCCGTGACGGCGGTCTTCTTGGAGCCAGTGCAGTCGCTCTGAATGGTCACGCGCTTCTCAGCGAGACTCTGGTGGAAGGCGGCCTGGACGGAGGCGGCCTGGACACCGTCGACCTTGGCCTGCAGAACGCCGGAGTCGAAAACAACCTGGCCGACGATCTTGTTGCTGCCCTCCTCAGCGTAGCGAAGGGAGCCGGTGCTGGAGATGTTGTAGTCGCCACCGCTGCTGAGGTCGTGGACCTGGGCGGCGTCCCACTGGACCTGGACGACCTCGCCGGCAGCGATGGTGCGGAAGGCGGTGTCGGGGAGGTCAGCATCGTGGACATAAACGCGGACGCCGGTGAAGGCAACCTTGTTGACTGTTGACGCTGTTAGATCATGCTCGCTCAGTGTTCTCTATCGGTGTTGGGTTCACATACCGCCATCTGCCGAGGCCGTGGAAAACTGGGCCTTCTCAACGGGGGATCCGTCAAGGATCGAACCAGCCTTGAGCACCCTCAGGGGCGTGGTGCCGGTGTTGGTAATGCTGGCCTTCAATTCGCTGTTGCCGACCTGCTCGATCTTGACGTCGAGGGGCCCAGCCCGCTTGCCAAGGTTGATTGCGGCGCCGTTGGCGAGGGCCGCAAGGCAGGAGATGACGGTGGCGGCCTTCATTGTGAATAAGGAATGATGAAAAAGAACGAACGGAGTTGGAGAGAAAGAATGGAAACTGTTGATGGGTTCACAACATGAGCTATGCTTGCGGATCAGCGGGACAGCAAAGCTTTATGGCTGCGTCTTTCACGGAGAGACTCATGTTACGATGGCAATCTTCGCCTATAATACGAGCAATATTTTGCGTAACGGAGAAGAAAAATCAAGGACCCAGATCGAGGCCAAGCCCATTTCCGCCACGGAGAATTAACGCGTTGGTCGGAATGCGGGTGTGCAGCCAAGACGTTCCGATAGCCTCAACCTCCAGAGAAGACAGGACACCGGCAGCTGTGGGCCAAACAAAAGCCGGACTGGCCCCATGGCAGGCCCAGTTACGGAGACCACGGCACTCTAGTTGAGGCTATTCCTCCCTCGCTTGCTTGCAAGATGGAACGGTTGTCGTGAATGGTTGCCCCCTGAGTGTGGTGATCAGCACGAGATATGGGGTCGCAGGTGCCAGGCTCGGAGTTTAGAATAAATAGAGTAGTGGGCCGTTTCGGCGCCTGGTTCGCTGTTTATTTTCACGATCGCTCACCACCAACCAGAAAGCCGCGCTTCAGCCTTGGCAGCCTTGGCAGTGCGACGTTTTGATTAAGGACGGGTTCTGGACAGTCCCATTTCCAGCATTAGCTAATCTCGGCAGCGCACTCCGTATACGTAACCTCCTCCGGCCCCCCGCACCACGCTCCGTCCGCTTTAATATTCAGCAAACCTCCGGTGCCTAACCAAGCTTGCCACCTGCCTAAAACAGCTTCAGGGCTGGCGTCGATCCATTCAGGAGTTGCGGCCTGTTCAGTAACCATACACACGTGCGCCAGAAAAAGCCTCGTATTCCCCTTCGATACGAGCATCGCCAGCTGCCGTTGTTCTGCCGGCAAACACCAGTACCAAGGCAGACACAGTCCCTATAGGAAGCTCGATCAGCGAGGAAGAATCTACTGTTGCTTGTTTGTCCAGCAATCAATCCAGCAATCCAGTTCATCGAGACTCAAGTCATCATACATGATCCCTCAGCGCCGCAACCACAGACCCCTCGCGTTCCCAGTCGCCCTGATACTCGGCGCCGTCATTCTTCTCACGCTCTATTTCCATTCCCCGATTGAGACTCTGACAATGGCCGACTCGTCGTCCTTCCTCGGCAACCTGGAAGTGAGCGTTTCTCAATCTGCCTCATCTCCACCCAGCGTGAAGGTATCCGTCAAAAACACACATCCTGACACTCCCGTGACGATCATCAAATGGAACTCCCCTCTTGACCCAATCGTCCTCGGCCTGGGCCAGGTATCCGTCACTCCGGCTGGTGCCTCTGACCCGATGCACATCGCTGCGATCAAGGTCGGGCGCAAGATGCCACCCGGGCCTGAGTCGTTAGTGACCCTGAAGCCGGGCGAAAGCGCCGGGAACGTGGTCGAACTGCGCGAGCCCAGAGTGCCAGAGGATGTGTGGAAGGCGGGCAAGGCAAAGGTGTCTTTGAAGGGGAGATGGATGGCGGTATGGCCTGGGTTGACCATGGAGGAGCTGTTGCAGAAGCCTGAAAAGCTGCAGTCCATCGGAGCTGGGCCAGAATCATTGCAGGGAGATTGGGAGACTGAGACTATTGAAGTTGGAAATTGAACGGCTGACCTTTTTGGAAATGCCTGACTCGATGTTGCCGGGGCTGTTGCGATCTTTTGGGGTGGGGAGCAGAGGGATGGTTCCACCAGGGCTTCGCAACAGCCTTGACTTTGACAGACTGATCAACGAAGTCGAAGTCAGATGTGGGTTTTCAAAGGTTCAGCAATATTTCTATCCATCGAAGGCCTTTCCCGTTACATGCAGACACGGAAGTGTTGAACTCGCTTGTGCCAAAATGCAACTTCTATCTGTGATCTCGGCCCGCTGCGATCTCTAATTTTGACGTGTAACAATATGGGACTACTCATGTCATTGAGGCTCCGGAGTTCAGCTTCGTCTTGAAAATCTATTCATAACATGGTGAGGTATTATCAATAGGTGCTGAGATTTCAATGCAGGCGTTCATAAGTCTTCGTGCCAGATAGAGTATCTCGACCATAATACCTCATCTGGTTTCTCTCAGATACGTCTGCCGATCAAATGCGACCCTACTGCATTGAAGAGCTTCCAGAAATGATCCGCCGTCTTCCTAGATTTACTCGCGCCCGTCTCAAGACGCAGCTCCAATTAGCCAAAGTAACGCATGCACCTGCGCCAATCACAGAACACACGTTGCATCCGTTGAAAGACGGAATGAGTCCCATTCAAACCGAGGTTTCCTTCTTTACAGGATCGGATGACATCAATGCTTTCACAATGACTGCCTGCTGTAATTAATGTGCACAACGCGCGAGCCCCTCATTTGGAGTCATTCCCGATTAGCAGAACCCCGCGTGCCGGAGTCCCCTCACCAAAATATTCCCCCAATTAGCTTCATTTCTATGCCAAGAACTATCTTGGCCCTCAGTAAGTTGTTCCCAATTAACCCGACCCGAAGAAGCACATTTCCGTCTAGACTACTCTGTGGTCGAGCAAACCCCATCAGACTATTTCTTTCAGTTGCTTATGTTAATCACCAATTGTCGTGTTTGAAGAGAATTCGATTGGAGATGCGTTACAGTCCTTTGGCGAACTCATTATCAATGCTCCTTCTTTTCCTGGTTTCGGCATGGCTCCGCCCGATCGCTGGAGCACCGCCGCCGCCTGACAGCCTTTGGCAGATCTCACCGCCTCTGAACTACAGCGACGTTCTCTACGCAGGATGGGAACAGATCCCCGTCCAGAAGGAGATCCAGATTTACAATGGAGTTGCTGAAAACCGAACCTACGCTCACCACCCGGAACTCTTCTCTATTGGCTCAAACGTTTTTCTCATCTACTCTTCAGCTCCGGTTGATGAGGATAGCATGGGACAGGATGTTTGGATATCAACATCCAACGACAGCGGTCTCACGTGGAGCCCAGGCAAGAGCTTGATGCCGGCCGCCTTGCTTCCTAACCAGACAGAAGCATACAATTGGAAGTACTGGTGCGATCGCGGGATCGCGCAGCGAGCATGGCAGGCTCTTACGTTTGTGCACCTCTCCGATGGATCGCTTTACGCGATAGGCCAGTCCGGCAGCCGCTGGTGTCCCGGGCGGTGGACGTCGGCTGGCCGCATTGCGGTTGAGATCTCGCTTGATGGAGAGCCTCTTCAGGACCCTTGCTGGATTGAGAAGAACGAGTGGACTGACTCGGAACGGTACGAGGAGACTGTTTACGGCACGGAATACGGCATGAAATACTGCACCCGCGCTTGCGAGATCAACTCAATACTTCGCAGGCCAGATGAGGCTCCTGCGTGGTCACCGTGGTTGTACAACAACGGCCTCTTCGCCGCTGACGGCATTCATCAGATGGAGGAGCAGACTTTTGCAGTGTGGCATGACGATGCAGACTCGCCAACGGGAGGTTACTGGCAGCGCCACTGGCGAGACATCACCACGGAAGCGAACAATACCCACTCCGTCTGGGTTGAGTACAACGACGACCCCGAAGGCGACGGCTGGTATCCAAAAGTGAAGAACAAGATGGGAAACAAGATTTACCAGACTAACATCCCGGACGCGAAGACCAAACAATTCCTCGGACAGCTAGCCACTGGGGACAGATTCCTTCTGTCGAACCCAAGGTACAACGCTGCCGACCCTCAGCGCCAGCCACTCACGCTTGCGTTGTCTCGAAGGAACGATCAAAGGTACAGGGCAATCGGAGTGTTGCGAACCAATGCGACGAGGGAGATTGTGCCAGATACGCGCGACGGGATTAAAAATCGGGCATTCGGGTTCAGCTATCCCACAGCAGTGCAGGTCGGGGATAAGCTGATTGTCGCATACAGCGAGAACAAGGAGAACATTTGGGTCAGCATTGTCGATGTCAGTGTGTTGCCGCAAGAAGAGCCCATCAGTTGATGAGAGGCAGTCCGGCTCTCGATGAAGGGCTTCAATTGGACGAATAAATGTGTTAGGAGTCGTCTTGCCGGACGACACTATGTTGAACCGCTCAAAGCCTCGGAAATAATATGGTGATCAGCAGCAGTGGTAGCTGTTGTAAAAAGCTCGGCCCCACCCCGACCGGCATCGGTCCGTGGGTCTGCGTCGGTGTAGACTTGCTTCTCATTATGAGAACTCGTCTATTTGGGCGGGATTCAATTGGAGTGGTATGTTTTGACAGCTGTGGGTGGATTTCAACTGCGGGATCCTCTCCTGTTTGATGACGTCGTGTTTTAGTGTGCAGCGTCGAGAGAGTTTAGTTAAGCTTAATGGTGCAAGCGGCCGTGGCGCCACTCCACGGGGATTCGGCCGGCGTTCCGCGGAATACATATCCCGGCCGTCATTGGTAATGGTGCGTCTCCACAACGCCGGACTGATGTCACGATATAACTTTCAGCCGGATACCCCGCCAGTTCATGCCACGACACGACACTTTCCAAGATAGCTTCTGTGACAATTATCCCTCCCTACCATCATGACTGGCCGACTACTCCTCACTGGTGCCACGGGCTTCGTGTGAGTTAATTTGCCTGACTTTGACGCACTCTCTGGGAAGATGGAGACTGATGCGTAGATCAGTGGTGGCACGGTGCTACATCAGCTTCTCAACTCTACTTACCCCGAGATCAAGAACTTGTCAATTACTGTCCTTGTTCGGAAACAGGAACAGGTTGATCTTCTCAAACAGAAGGGAATCAACGCAGTCCTCTTCAATGGCCTGGACGACTCTGAGCAGCTCAGAAAAGCGGCCAGCGAGCACGACTATGTCATCCACACTCCGAGTGGATTCCATACCGGCTCCGCCGTCGCGTTGATTGAGGGTCTCGGAGATAGAAAGAAACATACGGGCAAGGAAGTTTACTTCATCCAGGTAAGCCATTGGGCCAACGACCGCGATTGCCCGGACAAACAGACTCATTGCGTAGACATCGGGTA